CATATTAATATATTATTAAGGAGCCTAGCTTATTAGCTACCTCCATGATCACATCCTATACAAACATTAATCTCATCCACAATATATAAATCAGAGATAGATTAAATACCACAGCCATAGACCATTTTTATAGATCACAACATCTGTTCATATAATTAAATCATAATTAATAATATAAAATTAATTAAACACATATATCATTATCCAAAAATAATTTACAATTTAAAAATTAAATAAAATCATTTATTAATACAATCATGTGTATTAAAATAAACACCCCGTTATTACCAATTTAAACATTATCTTTATTTTTTCACTAAAGTGGTAAAACCATCCGACCACTAACTAGTGTTCAAAGTGGTTAAATTAATTACCCAAATAACACGTTACACGTTATTATCCTATTTGATCAAATATGTATCAACAAATTAATATAATGTACAGTATATTTTTACGTAACACTGTAACGTGATCCAAATACCAACAACCACTTAACCCAAAAGCCAAATACCACTTAAGTGTTAAAACAAATTAAAAAGAATTCCAAAAACCATTAAAATCAGACAACAAAAGATGCGGCCTAAACAGGATATTTCAGTCGACCGATTCCCTAATTCGGTGGGCTAAACACCCACGTCAGTCGACCGATACACTCTATCGGTCCACCGAAACGTGTTATCTTCTTCTTCTTAGTCTCTGACGAACTTTTGCTCCTTTACATGTTTGTTTCTAAAAATCTACAAACTAAATCTATGTTCCCAGATTGTTTAAATAGCAATTACACATTATATAAACATACTTTGAACCTCATAAACACAATTTATGCATCAATTCATCAAACATGAAAGTACCAAACAAACCCATTATTAAAAATACACGAACTGTAACTTTCATATTTGATCATGCAATTAAATTCAATTAAAGAACCTAGAATTAATCTAGCATGCATAGGTTGTGAATCAAAGGAGAAGAAAAGAAAATAACTTGCTTTAAGGATTTTGATAAAAACCCTAACCTCCTTCTTCCTCCTTCTCTTCTTTTCTCTTCCTTCTTTCTCTCTCTAAACTCTCTGTTTTTTCCTCTAAAATATATTACGTGAATATTTTCTAGCCCCCTTTTACTAATCTATAGTTATATATTTATAGGAAATAAAATAACCCTAATCCTTTTCCCAAACTAAGTCAACTTAACAAAGAAAAAAATAATAAAACTAAAATATTAAAAAGGTAACTAAAAATATGTTACGTGTATATCCTTATTATATAAATATACATCAGATTATTCATTACTAATACTAATGTTATAATAATATTAATTAATAAATCACTTTCCTTATATATATATATATATATATATATATATATATATATATATACACACAACTATCTATTGATAATTATCCGTACCCATTACACCTCCTATCCAAATAGTTCATGGGACTCTCAATTGGTTGGTCCATTACTACTATCCATATCCATAAAATATAATAAAATAAAATAAAAAATAAAATATAATAACATAAACATTTAATCTACAATTAATTATAATTAAATCAACACGTCAATTAATCATTTAATTCAAATAAAACATTTAAGCACATAATTTCTATTAATCATTTAATCAAATAACCAAATAATCAAGTAAATAAATAAAAATACAATTAAAACATTTAAAAATAATACCGAGATTATTCTTTTGAAATTAGGGGTATTACATTTTCAATTTCAAGGCCATAGCCACCCCCGTCACATTTAATTCCATGATTTCTATCCTCGCAGGCCTCGACGACTAACCTCCCACCTGGTGGGGGAACGCACAAGAGAGGACGGATGAGAAAAACCCCGAACAAGCTAGGCATTTACCAGAAACATGATAAGACATCATCAAGTCCATGAAGGGATTAGGTACAACATAAAGAGTGATTTTCATATTTTGATTTGTCAATTTCAAGGGTTTTTTTTTTAATTCAATAATTGAAATCAGGAGTGGGGAAAAACAAATTTCCCTTTGGGTGCACTCAGTTGCACAAAATTGGAATTGAAATGAAATTGAATTGGACTTCCAATTTTATGCAGTTGAAAATTCAACAAAATCAATTCCAAATACACTGTTCGAGCTAATTTTAGAATTCATATAAAATCAAATTACAATTCCAATTCTTTTGTTCGGATCAAGCATTCATTTGGAATTGAAATTATAAAAAAGGGTGAACTGCATTAAATCCCTCTTTTCTATTTGTTTTGCTAAAAATACCTCTCAACCATCCGAGGGGGTGACTTAGCAAATAGATATTATCTGAAAGTGAACTGAAATAGAAATTGACTAGAATATGTATTAGGCCTGTTTGAAAATCTGCTTTGTGAATGCGTCTTGGGTGTTTTTTTTTTTCTTTTTCTTTTTTTTTTTAATATATTAAATAACCTAAAAGACGTCGTTCATAGAAATTAACAATTTTTTTTTTTTTTTTTGCTTAATATTTTAACAGTTTACTAGACTGTTGAGGAGATAAAGAAAAAAAGGTTTTGAAAGTAGTCTTTTATTTAATTAAAAATAATTAGTTTTGTATGTAAAAGCGTGGATTAAACAGTTCCAGAATAATGTCATGATTCTCGTCAGTTCACATTAGTCAGGAATATATTTCTTTAGGAAAAAACTCTTTTGAAATAATAATAATAAAAAGAATAACATGTAGGCATTAAAAAAATTACAAAAAATAGGCATTACAATTGTGGGACAACATGACTCCATTTAACAAATATGCATAAAATAAAAATCAATAAAAATCAAAGAAATGAATGTGCAATATAACTATATAAAAAATTATTTAAAAAAATTAACAGATAAATTTCAAGGAAAGACCCATATTCACATGGGTATGAAGGTTGGTTGGAAATGCAAATATAATGTAAATAATATTCATATGGGTATGAAGGTTGGTTGGAAATGCATATATAGTGTAAATAATATTTAATGATACACACACCATTATAATACTGTATACAATATGTACCATAATATGTAGCTAAGAGTGATAATGCATAGATATATATATATATATTTGGGGTATATATAAAATAGGTAAGGGGCATTTTTGTATAAAAAATATATGAGAAAACTCAATGTCTCCTTTCAGCTAACATTCATCTATTAAGTAACCCCCCGGATGGTTTAGGGGTTTTTTTTTTTTGGCAAAAATTAAAAATAAAAAAATAGAAAATGAGAGTTTAGTGCAAAACACAAATAAAAAGGGAGTTTAATGTGGTTCACCAAAAAAAAAAAAAAATTAAATTAAATTAAATTAAATTTACGAAAAATAAATATGTCCTTTTGTCCTAGAAGCTGAGAAAAATAAATTAAACATACACACACACACACACAAAACAGAAAAATAAAAATAATCTGAATAATAATATTATAAAAATAGAAAAATGCATTTTAAAAATAAAAAATAATGTGAAACTCTTTGATAGATAGATATAGATAGATGTTGATATAAATATAGATATATAGAAAGAGAAGGACTCAGAATTTGTAGGTCTGATAATGCAATTTATTTTTTTCAAAAATTTAAATAAAATTGTATAATATACAAGGTATGTACAGTATGGGTATTGGACAACATTACAAAAGCAGCCCAAGGAAGCCCAGTTTGGAGTACTACAATGGAGTGATAAACTCCCTTAGACATTGATCTAACCCAATACTAATTGTAGTAAAAAAATAGGCCCAAAGGCCATTCAAAAGTAACATCGTATCTATGTGCGTTATCGTCCTTCAAACAAATCGAACAGTTCTCAAAACCGAGTATTGCTGCAAAAATTATCCCAATAGATAGAGTATGACAATCATTAATTGCCAAGTTAAGTCGGTTGTATAGTTAAGTAAAAACTGTCCTCAAATACATCATTTTCCCTTAAAACCTTGGCAATCAAAAACCAATGCAATGCAAAGAAATTAGGTTTCATGGTCTCACATCATCCTATTCCTTCTTGGTTCTTTTTCATCACCACCGTCACCGAAGCCACTACCCTTCGGACAGAAGAGGGAAGTCTAAATGAGTATCATTTGGGAAATTTAGGTGTTGTAACATCGGTGAAGCAGCCCAGGCTCGATTCGCGACGTTTGCCAACGGTGACTCGCACAATCTGGATATTGACTTTGAAATAGCTGTTAGTGCCAAGGTTCAACTACTCAATAATTACCAACAGGCCAGTGGCCTAACGATATCAGCCTCTTACTTCCCAAAAGAATATTCGGGGTTCGAGTCTTAGAAGAGATGTGTGTGTGAGTATCAAAAAAAAAAAAAAAAGGATGATGATGGATTTCTCTGAACTAGGTCATTTGAGAATCTTGAAGTTTGGTGACGCCAATGGAGCGGAGAGAGTGGTCGATCGCTGCTCGGCGACCAAGGAGTCGAGAGAGTGAGCGGGAGTGTCGAGAGAGTGGACAATTTTTTTTAGGTTTCAATTTCACGATGAATTGGAACAAAAAATATCACATCCAGGCATAGAATTGAAACTGTGTAACTGAGACCCTTAACATTGAGAATGAATTCCAATTCTATCATCACTTGAGTGAACTGAACAATCAAATTAGAATTGGAAGGCCCAATTCAAATTCTAAGGGCTCAATTCCAAGCATCCAACCCTTTGTGGTTTCCAAGAGTTATCTCAGCAACCCGTTACATTGTAACCGGAATCAAAATATTCTCATGTGCAATTTTAGATCCACCATCATGCAACAACTTTCTCGACAACACAACACTTCGAGCAAAAATGTTGAATTCTACCGATTTAATAGTGCAGTGGCGAAAAATTTGGGCGGACTGCAAATTTATTCTAGCATACACCGTCTAGTTCATATCCTCCACTCAACCAATTCAGCTAACTTGACCTGCGTGGCTCATGGAAGACATTTGGGGCATTGAATATAGCTTCAACGGATCAAGAGCGAGGAGAGATTTTACCCAAATAAGAAAGAAAGAAAAGGGAAATAAATCATAATCAGAAACAGAAATTCAATATTAGTTGTGTAAACCAAAAGATAATGTACCCCTGCCTAGTATACAAAATTTTGATTACCTTTAAAATAAGGAAAAAAAGAAGAAGAAAGCTTAGAGAAACCAAAACATAAAGCACAAAATGGAGCTTACGCATAAAGCCCATGTCAAAATTGTTCATCACCCTATATTCTAAATTGATTGATAGTAATTATCATACCACAAATTCTTGAGATACAAAAAAATTATGATATTACAATGATAATTTAATTTCCCACAGAAAATTTATCCCTTACTCCCGTATAGAACTCGGTATAATTAGTTGTGGCATTCTATGATTGTTGAATCCATCGTCTAGTGCTTCAAGGTTTCCTCTTCTTCTTTGACTTGGAACCACCACTATCTTCCTTGTGTCTTTTGTTTCCACTCTGGTGGCCAACTTTCTGTTTTCCAAGCTTTTCCACCTTAGTTCGATTGGATTTCACACTAACGAGACCACCTGAGGGTACCTTCCCACCATTTTGCAAAGCATTCTCAAAATCTACTTCACTGCCCACGATTGCATACTGTTGGAGGAGCTCGGGATCCAACAAACCATCCATCTTGGCTTTCATATCATCCTACATATGATCTCAAGTGAGTGAGTGAAACTCTACTAAAAAAGGGATAATAAGGAATCAGAAAAATGTGCAAAATGTTCACTACACCTTGACTTGCTTTGCTGCTTCGTTAAGATCTTCGTCTACAGAAATACTGTGAGGTTCCATTACATTCTGATAAAAATTGAGAAACCAAAGAAATATTACGATCAGTAGTTCAATGTCGAAGGTGAAGAAGGTAAAAACAACTGAGACATGGACGTGATGCATCTGGAAGGATGAGATGGCTGAACAGACCAGATCAAATTTTGAGAAACAAGCATATTAAAATGGTAAATCACAAATTTAGGAGGGCAAAATGGTAAGAAATGGATTTTTGAGACCTGCTGCTACACCATTCTAAACGAAATAAATTTAAAACGTCATGCTATACTGTGATATGGCAGAAAAAAGCAGACAAAGCTCTAAGTTCATACGTGTAAAATGGAAAACAATTCAAGTATAATGGTAATATTCAAAAGCAATGCCTTGGACACTTCAAACTTTTCAATAAACAACCGAGTTTTACTAAATTTAATGCTATGCTCGTATAAATATTTCGTTTTCTCTGGATGTTGCTAACTAAAGTGCCTAATATGTAGCTACAGAAAAGAGGACTGAACTGGAGAAGACAGCATTATCTAAACTTGTAATAAATATTCTACTTCCCCCACTTACTTCTTTCAGTCGAGGTAGGGTTGAATCTATCTCCTTTGATGCAATACCATACAGATACTTGTAGAACTTTTTCATAACTTTGATGAACAGCGACAATATCTGCTGCCCTTCCAACTTCATCTCTCGCTGTAAAAAAACCAATAAAAGGAACATGAGTCAATAAAATTTATTTCACAGTTTTGCTTCTCTAGTTTCTTTCTTAATAAAGTTTTCTACACATTAATAAAACATCATTAACCCATCATGGGAAATTAACCCATCCACCAGTACATATCAAAGCTAGGAACATCTTCATTCAAGTGTCAGATTAACCATAAATATCCCAGTAAAATTTAGACATCAGCAGGTCCACAAAGATCAAAGCCTTTTGACCAAAGAAAAGATAACAAAATCAACAATATCACCACTAAATATCAGCCCATCAACTAGGATTACCACAACCATCAAAGTAGATATTAGAGGTAGAAGCATCTTCATTTGAACCTCAGACAAGGACAAGAACCTTCTGCACAGAGAATACTCATGCAGTTTGGTAAGAAGCCATGATCACCAAGAAGGCAAAATCATCCTAGTAATCACCATACACCATCCAAAAGAATGAAGTGATTCATAAAGTCCCAACTGCACTAAAATCAAAATTATTTCCCAGTAAAATCTCCTAGGTGAAACCCAAGGATCATCTCGGTAATGACAATGTTTTGCAAACCACAGCCACAGCCTTCTACTCAGGATGGTTAAAGAAAATTACAAATTTTGCTTTAAATAAGCCGGTGTGTAAATTAATGAACCAGTAGTTGAACAAGTCAAGAACCAACCTCAATATCAGAGACTTCTTTTTTCTGCAAGCCAATGCAGAGCAAAACAGAGGCCTGGGCATAAGAGAGTGTAACTGGAAGCTTCTCCAGGAAATATTGATATGAAAGGTTCGATACAAAGTGCAGAATCTGTAGAATGCAAAACTAGTTAGACATACAAGTACACGAAAAAAGAAATAAGATGAAATTTATTAAATACTTTTCTATTATCAAAACTAGAAAAAGAAATCCACCAACATTGTGTGCTTTAACTATGCGACGGAGGGAGTTAAGGGCCGGGGGGGCACGTGCCCCCTGGATTTTCTCCCTCTCTTATATTCTATATATATATATATATTTTATAATAATATACATATTTTTATGAAAATATAGGAAGTGCCCGCCCCTAAATTTTCTCCTTCCCTCATAGAATTCTATATATGTTTCCTATTTTTTTCTCCTAAATTGTTTCCTTAATCCTTATATTATATATCTGTAAATTAATTTCATCCCAAAAATATCACTCTAAACATTGACTTATACGCATGTACATTATATTGTAAATTTATGTTATGGTGTACAATACTACAATGTGCCCCCCGAAAATTTTTCCTGGCTCTGTTCCCTGCTTTAACTTATATTTGCCAAAAGGCCATCGAGTTTTACTCCTCCTGACTGATATAAAGAAAGCATTTTATCGCGACGAGAAATTACAAAAATAGATTATCATCAATAAAATGAAACAAAAAAATGGTCTAAACAAGGCTAAATTTTGCAACCCAATGCTTGTTAGTAATTGTGTTACCCAATTACAACATAGAGGTGAGCAGCGTGTGAATCTAAGATCCTAGGTCACAGGGTGAGCACCAAATTCTAAAACCAAATTTATAGGACAAGAGTCTTTTAAAAATTTTCTTTTATAAATTCTAGCTATATAATTTTACGTTTTAATAAAAACCGTCTCTGTCTACACTTCTCCTTAGATGCTTGTTCATCAGTTACTTCATATCAGTCATCTATCTAAAAAAGTCCTCTAAACAATGTAAGTCCAAAAGTTAAGGATACAAAAAAAAAAATTTGAGGCCAAATTTGAAGTTGATTTTATTAACTAATTAAGTTAATCAGATGGGCAAGAAATGGAGCAGATCATGTTTATCTGAGTCCGGATCCATGTTATATGTTAAAATCCATACTTGAATCCTATTTGATTAGTGTTTCTTGCAGATGTGTAACCAAAAGATATATATACAGGCACAGATATAAGTATTTTTATAAGATCAGAATTCAAGCAAACAAGGCAAACAACATAGAGTCCAGAAGTACAGGGAGAGAAAGAAAAAGCTATAAAATTGCCATGGCTACGAACCACGGTGTCAGCGGCCGTAACTATAACGGTCCTAAGGTATCGAAATTCCTTGTCAGGTAAGTTCGACCCGCACGAAAGGCGTAACGATCTGGGCACTGTCTCGGAGAGAGGCTCGGTGAAATAGACATGTCTGTGAAGATGCTGACTACCTGCACCTGGACAGAAAGACCCTATGAAGCTTTACTGTTCCCTGGGATTGGCTTTGGGCCTTTCCTGCGCAGCTTAGATGGAGGGCGAAGAAGGCCTCCTTTCGCGCGCGCGCCAAGTGGAAAGGTCATCGCTCAAGGGATAAAAGTTACTCTAGGGATAACAGACTAATCTTCCCCAAGAACTCACATCGACGGGAAGGTTTGGCACCTCGATGTCAACTCTTCACCACCTGGGCTGTAGTATGTTCCAAGGGTTTGGCTGTTCGCCCATTAAAGCGATAAGTGAGTTGGGTTCAGAACGTTGTGAGATAGTTCGATCCATCTCCGGTGTGGGCGTTAAAGCATTAAGAGGACCGATTCCCTAGTATAAGAGGACCGAGAAGGACGCACCTTTGGTATACCAGTCATTGTGCCCACGGTAAACGCTGGGTAGCCAAGTGCGAAGCGTATAACTACTGAAAGCATCTAAGTAGTAAGCCCACCCTAAGATGAGTGCTCTCCTATTCCGACTTTGGTAGAGCCTCCAGTAGCACAGTCGGGACAGCGACGGATACTCTGCCCCTGCAAGGATGGAGCGACAGAAGTTTTGAGAATTCAAGAGAAGGTCACAACAAGACGAGCTGTTTATCATTACGATAGGTGTCAAGTGGAAGTTGAGTGATGTATGCAGCCGAGGCATCCTAATAGACCGATGTACTTGAACCTTGTTCCTACATGACCTAATCAATTCGATCAGGCACTCGCCATCTATTTTCATTGTTCAACTCTTTGACAACACAAAAAAACCGTTGTTCAACTCTTTGACAAAATGAAAAACCAAAAGCTCTGCCCTCCCTCTTTATCTATCCAAGGGATGGAAGGGCAAAGGCCTTTGGTGTCCCCTCCAGTCAAAAATTGGGGTCTCACAATCACTAGCCAATATGCTTTTCTCTCATGTCTTTCTTCGTTCATAGTTCGATATTCTGGTGTCCTAGGCGTAGAGGAACCACACCAAACCATCCCGAACTTGGTGGTTAAACTCTACTACGGTGACGATACTATAGGGGAGGCCTTGCAAAAAAATAACTTGACGACAAGAACATAAAAAGCTTAACACCGCTCATTCTTATTACTTTTTCAATATGAAAAAGAAAAAATGAAAAAGGTCGTCTTATTCAAAACCCCAATTATGACATCCCTTCTCTCCTACTTCACACCTTGGAACGCACCGTTCTTATAGAAAGAAACACTTCCACATCTTCTTAACCCAAAATGGCTGGGGAGAGCAAAGGTTCCTTTTTTTTAGGGTACTCCAGGGAACAGATCCAATGGAGACGGGGTGGGGCCTATAGCTCAGAGGATTAGTAACGTAACAGAAACGATAAAGAATAGGGTTAAACCCTTGAATTCACAAATAACACTCACAAGAGAGAAAACTAAAATTATATTGATAATTGTCTGCTTACAAACTTACATCTCTTGCCTTTATATAGGCAAGTCAAACATAAAAATAAAATAAAGCATCTGTGAAATGTGAAATAATACTAAAGGGGAAATTCAAAAAAATATATATTTGCTGAGATTTGATAGAGTACAATCCTTCTTAAATCTTGCAATCTTCAATCATGCTATACTAAAGGGGAGATTCAAAAAAAGATATTTGCTGCGATTTGATGGAGCATTATCCTCCTTAAATCTTGCAATCTTCAATCAAGCTATCTATTGTTGGCAACTACACCAATCATGGTGTTGCTTATTGTGAACTCAACCGCCAATCTTCCTTTTGACTTTACCTTATTTATTTATTTTCTTTCTATTCTCCTTACCTTTTCAGCCTCCTTGATTTGTGATGATCATGTATGCTTAGTTACTTGTGATCGAGCTGTTCTACATCAGTCTCCCCTGCATAAAAAGAACTCGTCATCGAGTTACCTGAATCCGGCAGATAATATTCATGTATGTCAGCCAATCACATAGGCATTGTCATTGATTTTCTTTGGAATCTGGTACGGACCATATTTCTTGGCCTTCAGCTTGTTGTATGTTCCCACTGGAAACCTCTCTATTCTTAAATACACCATAACCAGGTCCCCTTCTTCAAATACTCTCGTCAGCTGCAGCCTTGTGTTTGGCGTAAGTTTCCTCTCGATGTTTCATGACACTCTCCTGAATGTCTTAATGTGCTCAGCCATTTTCTCTGCAGCAACACTCTTCCCTGGTAACTTCGATAAGGAAACCAAATCCAAAGCAACCAATGGAGGACAACAATACACAACCGCAAACAAGGATTTGCCAAAGGACCGATTAACCATGCAATGGTAAGCAAATTCGGCCTAGGCAAGAGCAAGATCTCACTGTTTTGGTTTCTCTTCTCAAACACAGCAAATTAGATCTCCCAGGGTCCCTATTCACCAACTCCGTTTGGTTATCAGTCTGAGGGTGACTAGTGCTACTGAAATTAAGAGAGGTATCGAATCTCTTCCATGAAGTCCGCCAAAGGTGAGACAAGAACTTGGTGTCACGATCTGAAGTAATGGACTGTGGCATATCATGTAAACGAACCACCTCCTTAAAGAACAGATTGGCCATTTGGACTGCGTCGTTCGTCTTCTTGCATGCAATAAAATGGGACATCTTGGAAAATCGATCGACCACCACAAAAACAAAGTATGCTCCTCGCTGTGTCCTTGGCAACCCTAGAACAAAATCCATGGATATATCCTCCCATGGAGCATCTGGAATATGCAGCGGTGTCTAAATGCCAGTATTCTAAGATTGGCCTTTATTAGTTCGGCAGATTGAGCACCGCCGCACATGGTTCTCCACATCACGCTTGAGTTGCGGCCAATAATATCGTTCTTTTACCAGCTCTCACGTCTTATCACACCCTAAATGTCCTAATCCTCCTCCATGCAATTCACGAACCACTTGCTCCCGTAAAGAACCCCATGGAATACAAACTGATTGCCATTAAAGAGAAATCCTTCGTGCATGTGCAACCCTTTCAAGGATTGGCTCGTTTTACACACTACCCAAGTTTGGCCAAAATTTTCGTTGGCCTCGTATAACTCCTTCAGGCACTTGAACCTTATGATTTCAGCCCGCATAGTCACTAAAAAAGCTGCTCTCCGACTTAATGCATCTGCAACTTTGTTCTGTTGGCTTGACTTGTGTTTTAACGAGAAGGTGAATAGCTGGATATAAGTCGCCCATGCACGTGCATCCGATTAACACTGTTTTGATTGTTAATGGATTTCAGTGCCTGGTGATCTGTAAACAGCACGGACTCTTAACGAATAAGATAATGCTCCCACGTATGCAAAGCTTGCATCACCTCATAGAATTCCAACTCATAGGTAGTCCACTTCTTGCGTGTTTCACTAAGCTTCTTCCTTCTTGTGATATAACTGCTCCGATTCCCATTATTAAGGCATCACAATCCACTTGGAATAGCTTCTCAAAATCTAGAAGGACTAAGGTTGGGCTGCTGACAGTTTTTCCTTGATTAAGACAAAACTCATCTCAACTTCCTCTCCCCATTGGAATTCTCCTTTCTTCATGCATTCTGTGATGGGAGCCACAATAATACTGAAGCTCTTAATGAACCTTCGGTAAAACGTGACTAAGCCATGGAAACTACGTACTTCTCCCACATT